TGTTTATAAAAAGCTTTCTTTTGAAAATTTTTAGTAAGTTTATATTGGTCCGCTTATATAAAACTTTTTTTGAACCTTTATTATAAGTTTACACTTTTACGCTTATAAAAAGCTTTCTTTTGAACATTTATTACAAGTTTATATTTCTACGCTTATAACCAATGTTCCTTTTCGATTATATTACGCTTACTTTCAAGCGTTTTATAAACAAAAAATCAACGTTTTGTAAGCTTAATGTTTATAATTGAAAACTTAAAAAAAACTTTCTTTAAGTTTATTTTGCTTGTTGGGATCGAGCTTGTTATATAGGCGATCCGGTTCGTGATAAATTCTACCTGTCCCTTAATTTGTAAATACCCGGGCCCAAATGAGTTTAATTTCATATATGTATATTAATATATATGCGTATGTACACACCCTGCAGGAAATGATACCAGTTCAGAAATAACTAGTAAAGTAAATAGACTACGGTCGTGGGTACTATTGGGCACATCTCAAACAGTGAGTGGGCTTGTTTCTTTATTCATTCCGGATCTAGAATAGAATAATCGTAGTTTATCCGGAACAATGGGAATAAAGAAATCGAAAAGAATTAAGTTCTAAGGAACCAGATAGAAAATAACCTTTTGGTGCTTATTAATATTTAATTTAATTTTCTAAAGGTTGTTTCGTAAAACAATTTGCAAAAACATACTTGGTTTCTCTAGCGCCATTATGTTCTTGCAATTGTATACATTTGTACATATGAGCATAACAGCTGTTCAGCAGAATATTTCATGAACTCTGTGCTAGAGACACATAACGCTTTAGCGAAGAAGTAAACGGAAAAATTTATTCCGAACGATTGGAGTTAATAAAGAAACATGCCCAGTAAATTCAACGCCTTACCTGTACATTATCTTAGACCAGTACGATGCTGGTTCGAAGATGCTCCCTGCAGAAGAGCTGCAGAAACATCGATGGAAACATCAATGCATCGATATTTTTATATGAGCTGCCAACGTCGATGTTTTTGCGAATTGCAACCCTAAATTTATTTGGCGCGTGGAAAGGTAAAATAATCAATTATTCATAAGTCAGCAAAAATCGGAATAATATTTAAAAGATTTTAAGAACGCACCTCATTTAGATGATTCAAAAATTAAAGGTTTTCTCACTAGTGACATAACATTAGAGTTTTGAAACAAGAAAACTGTTTTCTGAGCAAACCTTTTATTATTGAATAATTTTTAAAAGACTTTTTGAACTCAAGCCCTTGAGGGGGAAAAAAGGATTATAATTTATTATATTCAAGTTAAATATAGAAAAATTTAAACTCTATATTTTTATAAGTATTTTTTATATGATAGAATTTGTTCCCCAGCGAAAATTTACAAATTTTGAAAAAAAAAACATCGATGTTTCTACCCTGCAGGGTACTGCGTCAACTTGCATTTGCACTCATTCATACATACATACATACGTATGAACATTTTTTATGAGCAATGCGAACTTCTTGTTTTTGCTTCATAAATTCAGCTGTAATTCAATATGAATTTTACATATGCATCTGTTTGTAGGTATGTATGTAGATACCCTTGTAGTCAGCTGTTTAAGTTAAGTGACACTTTGACCAGTTTTGGTTATTTTACTTTGCTTATTTAATGTTTAATACTTTTTATAAAAGTCTAAATTCAACAAACTTTACCGATTTGCCCCAAAAATTTAAAACTTTTTATTCAGAACTTTTAGAAAAAAAGGTATGCCGTTTTATAGCCCATTAATCTTTAGTAGGACAAAGTGCAAATTGCAAATCCCGGGATCCCGAAAAATTGTAAATATCGAATTGAAAAGAAGAATTTGTTCTTGCATGTTGAAGTATGATTTTTTTTTTAAATGCCGTTTTGACTACAATTAACTAAAACCTTGAAATTATACCTTTAAAATTACCGCCTGAGCCTTTGTATATATATAAATGAATGTACTCATAGCGTCGCTAATGAAAACGAACGAACGAAAGTTTTAAAGAAAAGTTACATAATTTTTTAAATCAATTTAATCAAACTTCCTCAAATCGAGAAACTTATAATTTATCCGACGTGCTGGTAGAAGAATTTTTAAGTATTTTGTTATGGAGTAGATAGGGGTCATTGTCTGCATATGGCTTATGACCACCTTTTGGCAGTTCAGCCGACAAATGTTGAGGCCGAAACATGGTTTTCATCAGCAGCTGTTGTATGTAACAAGTTCAAGTCAAGATTAGAAGACTCCGCTTTGAATGCTTTGCTGCTCTTACGTACACATTTTAAATGCACACAGAAAAAGTGGTGTGCGCTTTGAACCGGACACACCTATCGACATGTAGATATTTCGAGCCGGAATCCAAATCTGAGGTCAAAAGTGCCTGGTTATATGTGATGCATGCGTTCCTCAATCACATAGGTTTTTTAAACACAATTTAGAACAATTATTAGTTCAAGATTTGTCTGTATTAATAAATATTTGATTTTTTAAATCAGTTTATCGTAAATTTTAAATAGTTTTATTTTAGGGTATGTTCAAAAGCTTTCAGTTATTGAATTTCTACTCATGTTCATAATAGTTATGTCTCAAGGTGAATTACGCAATCCCGGGATTACTTAAAAAATATACCGAAATCTCGGGATCACAATTTTCCGCTAATATTGGCATCCCTAGTACTTATATATGTATGAACGACGAGTATGTACATACATACATATGTCATCTCTTTTACTTGCTTATTTTCTTATGCCAACTCTGTCAGTCGTATGTATTCATCAAATATGGCTATCACATTTAAGTTGTTTATTTTAATCGTTATATGTAGCTTTCTGCCTAATTGGATGCGTTGTCAATTTCGCACCAAATCGGAATGTCTCAATTTACAACAATTAACCATTTAGTTCTATTGCTAGCTCATGGTTAGATTAACCCGTGCCAATAGTAAGAGTGCTGACAAGGGTTGGGTAAATCACTCAAACAAATCATTCATTATGGGAGATTGATAATTATGGTGTATGTAAATTTTGTATGCCATCGCACACTCGAAGGGCGTGAGAAAGTCCTAAACAGTCATTCAAATACTGCTTACAACTGGATTTTCATTCAAGAACATA